ACAGCCAGTTTCCAAAACACTCAGGTCAGATCAGCCTAGGATCTAATGAACAGAGAGCTAACGGTCATTCTGGCTCCCTCTTATGGCTGATTGAGGAAAACAGCAACAAATCACATTTTACAGCATGATTTAAAGAAACAGGTACAACATTGTTACATGGTTTATATATTGCCAACCCAACCGTTAGATTATATTCCTAACAACACCCACCAAGCCAACCCAATAAAATGAATTTTTGAGAAAAGCTAGAGTCTCAGAATCCTGAATTGATTGGGACAATTACTTGGAACCATGACAGTGACATTATCTAAGACAAAGCCCATAGTTGGAATGGAGGCTACAGATTCTGGAGACTTCCACAAACCTGGCCTGAAGTCATGGAGATTGAGGTCCTCCACCACCAATAGCTGGTGGAACTCCAAACTAAACCCGTAGGCTTCTGGTCTCTGGTCTTCACCTGGAATAAACTTGATTTCAATTTCAACCTGTAGGCAAGACTGGGGAACTGAGGAAGGGATCTTGCTGGATAGCAGAGGAGTTGGTGGACAAGGGATAACCAAATTCTGTCCTTACTGCCCAATTTCTCACCCATTCATTTATATCACTCTACCCACAGCAGCCATGTTTCTCTAATATTAATTGCTACCCTGAATCTCAGCCTTGGAGTTAAGGGTTGATGGAGGATCTGAACCAGAGGTAGTATTCAGCCGGTTCGTATTGGTTCACCCAAACTGATAGTGGAAATTTATGCTAGTGATGGCGAACCTATGGCACTCATGCCACGGGTGGCACATGGAGCCCTCTCTGCAGGCATGCGAGCCATTGCCCAGCACGCAGCCACCTGCCGGCCAGCTGATTTTTTTGTTTACCCTGCAGGTGGGAGATCCATGCGCATACCTTTCTCCTCACTTTCTGCCTTCCCAGACCTCCGGAAATTCCCCCCCCCAACACTGTTTGGAGTTGCGAGCCTTTTCCCCCCTCCCCAGCGCTGTTTTGGGACGGGAGGCTTTCCCTCCCCCTAGCGCTGTTTTGGGATGTGAGGCCAAAAGGGGGGGATGTTGCCCACCCATCTGCAGGTTGAGCATGGGGGGTCACGCACACATGCGTGTGGGGTAAGGGGAGCGTGTGAATGTCACACATGAATGTACAGGGGAGGGGCGCATGGGAGGGGCATTGCATTATGGGTGTGGGCCATGTATAGCCCTACATGGCTTGGGACCTGGATACCTACGGGACCGCCTCCTGCCACATACCTCCCAACGACCTATAAGATCGCACAGATTGTGCCTCCTTCGGGTGCTGTCGACCGGGCAATGCTGGTTGGCGACAACTCGGGGGAGATCTTTCTCTGTAGCTGCCCCGGCGCTGTGGAATGACCTTCCCGCAGATATCCAGACCCTTCCCACTCTTTCGGCCTTCCGTAAAGCCACTAAAACCTGGCTGTTCTGGCAGGACTGGGGTTGTTGACCCCAAAATATGGTCCAGCCCCACTTAGAAATGGAGTGCATGGTGTGTTTTTTAAATCTATCTTGTCTTTTCTTCTTTTCTTTTTGATTTATTGTATTGTTAGCTGCTCAGAGTCCTCCGGGATTGGGCGGCATATAAATGTTAATAAACTTCTAAACACGAGCCCATGTGACAGCATGCAACCACGTGCTTTCCACACCCAAGGAAAAAAAGGTTAGCCTCATTGCTCTTGTCATCCTATATAGGGACATTTTTGTGGCCGGGCGCATGCACAGATGGCACACGTGCGAGCAAAGCGCATGTGCGGAAAACTAAGGGCATGCAAGGATGAGGCATGTGCGAGCGTAGTGAGCGTGCATGCACACACGCACCCATTTGCAAACTGGTAGGGAAGGGAAGGGAAAACCACCCGATCTGAACTCCAGAGGACCGGATCTCTAAAAAGGAGACTTCAGCATCATTGCTCAAGCTCATTTCGGTAATATGTGCCAAGTTCAGTTATTCATCAACCAAGTTCACTGCTGATGGGGTGTCTGTTAATTCTTAGGTTACACAAGGGCAATAATTTTCTTTCTAGGAATGTTTATACTGTAGTCACAAAAATAATGCCTTCCTATAGACGAAGTTGACATTTTAAAAACACAACAGCTATTTCTGGGTAGCTTTTCTTGGCAATGCTCTGGTCATGCTTTCAATTTCCCAATTATCCACAGCCTTGGATTTAATAATGACCTCCCACGTAAGTTGCTGCACCGAACTCACTCACAGGGAAGCGAATGACACAGGCGGTTGAAGAAAATGTAAGAGGCTAAGGGCAGTGATGGCTAACCTTTTTTTTGGTGCCTGGTGAGATTTGAACTGCCAAATTGCAGGCAGCCGGCAGGCAGCAGAAGTAGCCCGTAGTACTGCACTCTAGCCACTGCGCTGCCGTGGCTCATATGATACAATGCAACCCAAGGATTACGGGATCTCTGTACAAATGCATCATGGATAATATATAGGAAAAACTGCATAACAGGTGATAAAATAGGAAAAGTCTTAATGTAGAGGGGCTTTGATTTAGATGGCATAGCTGAAACCCAGGTTCCTTGTGAATGGAATGCATGGATGGAAATGAAGAGAGAAATATTCCCTAGAAATGCCAAGGAGTGGAGAGAGCATCCTAGACAGTTTACTGCACAGCACAAGCTAGATATCTGGGTGGACTGCAGTTTGAAATGAGATGAGATAAAGTGGGATGCAGGAGAGATTACTGTTGCTTTCTATCCTGTATACCCAGTCTGATGCAGTGGTTAAAGCAAGGATCTGCAACCTTAAACACACAAGAGAGCCATTCTGACCTGTTTCCCACAGAAAACAAAACACCGGGAGCCACAAAACCTGGGTGGGCGAGGCCTGCCTGCTGCTCTCGCAGCGCCTTGCACAGCACAATTAAAATTTTGCATGCTTCACAATGGGGGAGATGGCGTCCCGTCCTCCTGGAGCCTATTACAACCCAGAGCGTAGGCCACAGCTGGGCCTGGCCAGTGTCTCCGGGTAGAGAGCAAGTCGTGCATCTCCCCATGTGACTGATGCACCAAAAAGGTCCAGAAGCAGCCCCCGTGAGATATGGCAGATACAGGGGTGCTTCATTCCTGGTCTGGAATACGGAACAAGTCTCCATCCCCCGCTGTCATTTTTACCTTCTCAGGCCAGGCGAGGAGTGATTGGGAGGGTAGGGCAAGGGGCGGGGCCAGCCAGTGGTGGGTTCAGCTGACAGGGAGCCATAGCAAGGGGATGAAACAGCTGCATGTGGCTCCAGAGCTACAGGTTGCAGACACCCGGGTTAAAGATTAGGCACTGGGAGACTGAGAGTTCTAATCCTGCCTTAGGCACAAATGCAGCTTGGTGCATTTGTGCCTAAGCCAGTCACTCTCTCCCAGCCCTAGGAAGAAGGCAATGGCAAACCACTTGTGATTTTTTTTTAAAAAAATATTATGTTTCTACGCCAAGAAATCTGCAGGGAGGTTTCCAGGCAGTTGCCAGAAGTCAAGACTCATTCAAAAGCACCATTAAGTTTATTCTGTCAGATTGACACCGAGGGTGTTGTATCTGATTTGGGCATATTTTAGGATGGATATTAATTAACTACACCATGGCCAGAGGCCAACAATCCAAGAAATTAGAAGTCTGGAAGCGAGAACTTCCACTACCTTTTTTTTTAGCCTGGAGAATACTGCGGGAGACCTGATAGTTGAGTTTCTGAAGATCTATATAGAAAAAATGATGAGGAATTGTTCAAAATTGCTCCAGAAGTCAGGGCAACAAACCATGGCTTCATAAAGTTAAACTGGACATGAAGAAACATTTTCTCATGGTAAGATGTGATGAAGAGTAGAGTGGTAGATCCTCCTTTGCAGAGGACCCTCTCGGTGGGAATTTGAGNGCCAAGGTTGAGAAACACTGCTCTAGACGAGGAAAGTCTGTTCTTCGGACGTTGGGCCAGGAAAGGGACAAAGGTCCCCCTCCTCTTCCAACTGACTCAGGCTGAAGGGGGGGAAGGGACCCCCATCCCCAGACAAGGACACAGCAGTGAAGACGGGGGGGGGACAGTTTTCAAACACGGGGGGATTGGAGGGTCAGCCCTCCGGATACTCACAATACAGAATCTCATAATCCCCCGAATTGGTGACCAGGCAGCTGCTGTCGAGGGCCCAGTCCAGGTGGGTGATGAAGCTGGAGTGTCCCTGAGGCGAGGAAGACGCCCAAAGTCAGGATAGCCTCACCTCAGCGCTTGTCTTCTTTTGGACTTTCAGGAGAACCTGGAACTCGCAGCCGCTTCCTGAGCATCAGGGAGTCCGCAGGAGAAGCTGCCAGTCCTGCGCCGTCCAGCTGAGCCCCGGGCACCCCCTTCAAATGAGCGCTAGCCCATCCTGGTGCCTCCCCGAAGACCCCACTCGGAAAGGCCTCCCGCCGTGGCAGCCTCCACTCACCGAGCATTTGCCAACCCGGCCGTATTTCCTGCCACCCTCAGAAACCAGGTAGATGTAGACAAAGTTGTCGTGGGACCCCAAAGCCAGGTACTTCCCGTCTGGGGGAAAAAAGGGGTGGGGAGGTGTCAGCACAGAGGGGGCAACAGGGCAGAGAAAGTGTGGGGCATTTCATTCGTTTCCTATTTCCTATTTCTAAACCACCCATCTCTCTCAAACTCAGAGCCCAAGAAATCGCCTTCAAATTTGTGTCTTTTGTGTCCCTTTTACCGAAGGACATGGAGGGGCCCGGGCTGCCTCCCCTTTTGCAAAGCCCCACCCGATGCCACACCTGGAGTGGGCAAGTTCTTGTTCCCCCCCCCTGTGAAACCCCTCCCCCCCTTTCTCACCTGGGGAGAAGCTGACCACGGAGATGGGCTCTCCTCCGTCCGTGTGAATGGCCACCAGATCCCGGGTCTCTGTGTCTAGCACCAGCCACCTGGTTGAAAGCAGAATGGGGGGGGGGGGAAGATGTTGCATCAGACCAGAACCCCCCAAGGTCTGCCAATGCACACTGTCTGCCCCTCTGCACCCCTCCCCATTATTAAAGGCAGAGAAAGCACACGAGAGCCGGGAGATTAAAAAGGGAGCAGACTTTCTGAAAGGAGGACGGAGGAGGAAGTCTGCCCCATGCCAGGAGCTCAAAGTTTGGGGCCAACAGCTGCACGAAATTCCTGAGACCCCCCCCCCATTCCTCTTTTGGGCAGCCATTCAAGCCATCCCCTCTCCCAGGGGGCAGTAGATTGCCACATCATTGAAGAAAGCCCCCCCACCCCGAGATCGTCTTCCACCCTCCTGCCCCCTGCGCCCATTACCTGCCCGTGACGGTGCCCACCACCAGTACCGAGCCCCTGGGGTGGAAGCCAGCCGAGCGAGCCGCATCCTGGAAGAGAGAAAAGCCTTCAGACTACCCGGAGCCTTGGGGGTGGTCTTCATTGCCTCAGAAGCCCCCTGGGCTCACCTCGATCCCCTTGCTCCATAGAGGCTGGTGGGAGGCCACGCTCCACAGGTGGACCTGCTTGTCCTGGCCGCAGGTCAGGAACTGCTCGAGGGTGGGGTGCGTGGCCAGGCCCCAAAGCTCTTCCGTGTGTCCCTGGTAGGAGAGGGGGGGGGTTTCAGCTGGACCCTGAGGGCCCGGCCTTTCCATGGGGGCAGCCCGGTGCCCAGGCCCTCCCAGCAGAGACCTTACCTGCACCAGCAGAGAGAAGCCGGTCGACAGGGACCCGTGCAGCACGGAGTTGCGTGTGGTGCCCACAAAGAGCGAGTCGCCCTTCCCTTCGGCAATGGTGCGCACCGGCCCAAAGCCTTCCGGGACCTGCAGAGAATAGCAGAGTCGGAAGGGACCCTGGAGGTCTTCTAGTCCAACCCCCTGATCAGTCAGGAGACCCTATTTCTAGGAACAACAGCTGGACAGAAAAAGCCCCTCGGGACACCCGGAGGGACCCGAAGCCCCTTAGCAGCCCACAGACCCTCATGAACCTATTTGGGCTCGGAAAGGCTGTGGAGAGCGAGCACTTCCCTCGTTTCGAGGCTGAACCCGGGCATCTCTTGCTGTTTTGAGCCCGCTGGCCCTTCCCCTCGGTCCTTCTCACCTCGTTCTCCTGCAGCTTCTGGTAATCCCGTCCCCAAAGCACCACCCGGCGATCCCGGCCGCCCCCCGTCAGGATGGTCCCATTCCGCAGCACACAGAGGCCGAAGATGCCCCCCTCGTGGGCGCCTGGCACCGCATGGCAGATCCGGTTGCCCCCTGCCAATGAAGGGCAACAGTGACACACGGCAGGCATTTAGGCAGAGCCCACTCGCCCACCCAGAGCACCAGCTGTGGGGCCCTGCCTCCTGCCCCATTGCGGCTTTCTAGCAGGGCCCTTCACTCGTGGGAACGGTGGACTTTGGCTCCGAGAGTTCTCCAGCTAGCCCTGGATTCTGGGAATTGAAGTCCACGGGTCTTAAGAGTTCCCACGGTTGAAGGGCCCTGCCGTAAACCAACATGGCTTCTGGCAGGAGTTTAGTCTCCATCATCCTGGCTTGCGGAGACCAGGAACCCAGCAGCCTCGACTGGTTTGCATGATTTTCATGGTTAATCTGCACATCGTGGCTTGCATGAGCCAAGCCAACAGGGATTTCCTCAGCAAACCCTGCATAAACAAACCCTGGTTTATGCAAAGTCCGTACTTGTGGAGGAGGCCTGGCCCTCCGAGCAACAGACCTTTGCCCCAGATGTAGAGGTTGCCCCCCGAGTCGCCGGTCACGGTGTCCCCGTTCTCCGTGAAGGCCACGCACAGAACATACTTGGGCTTCTCGTGTTTCTGCAGAGAAAGTGGGGGGGGGGGAAGGAATGAGCCCCCAGAGGAAAACCTCAGAGCCCCCCAGCCAAATATCCCCCCCAGGCCTTTGTGCGGGGATAACAAGCCATCGCAATCACTCACTGCTGAATTGCAGCTAGTCCTCGACTTATGACTACCATCGGGCCCAAGCCTCCTGTCGCTAAGCCAGACAGTTGTTCAATGAGTTTTGTCTCATTTTATGACCTTTCTTGCCATCACCATTAAGTGAATCACTGTGGTTGTTAGATTAGTAGCACAGTTGTTAAGGGAACCTGGCTTCCCCGTGGATTTTGCTTGTCCGAAGGTCGTAAAAGGGGATCACGTGACTCTGGGACACTGTGACCGTCATAAATGTGAGTCAGTTGCCAAACATCTAGGCTTTGATCACCTGATTGCACAGTGACGCTGCAACGGCCGTTAAGTATGAAAACAGCCGTAAGACACTTTTTTCAGTGCTGTTGAAACCTTGGAAGGTGACTGAATGAAGTGTTGTAAGTTGAGGACTTACATGTCATAGGTCTGAAGCAAAATGTGTAAAGCCTAAATCTCAGCTGCTTCTGATAGGAGGGAAACGGGAGGCAGGAGGGAAGCCCCCCAGGGGTTGGGAGTGGGGGGGGGCTGATCAGGGCCTACATTTCCCAGAGTTCTAACTTCCAGCCTGCCGTTACTCCAGCTAAGAGAGGCTGCTTATTTCTGGGAAGCTCTGTGGCCGGAGCCCTTGGACGCCGGTGGACACGGCACGGAGGGCAGGGGAGCCACCGCCTGCCGTGCCCCCCCCCCACCCGCCCCCCTTCCCCCCTTGCTCTCACCTCAAAGATGCCCTGCCGTTTGCTCAGGCTGCCTCCTTCCAGGCTCCAGAAGTGGATGTGGGACTTGCCGCAGGTGATGAGGAGGGTGGGCTCCGTGGGGTGGAAGGTGGCGGCCAGGACGGACTCGTTGGAACACTTGGGAGGGAAGGGAGGAAGGAAGGCGGGGGCGTCAGGCGTGAAACACACGCGTGCCGGATTGCGGTGCAAGGAAGGGGGAGGAGCAAACCTTCACGTCCGCCAGCTTCTGCTCCTTCTGCCAGTCCCAGACGGAGAGAACGTGGTCGTTGGAGTCGTCCACGGCACACAGGAGGCCACCCCCATTCTGGGCAGGGGAGAGAGAGAGGGCAGGTGGGCAGGGAGGCAGCTCTGCCCTTTCGCTCAGGGTCCCCCACCCTTGGCAACTAGGATAGCAATAATAGCAATAACAGTAGACTTATATCCCGCTTCATCGGGCTTTCAGCCTTCTCTAAGCGGTTTACAGAGTCAGCATATCGCCCCCCAACAACAATCCGGGTCCTCATTTTACCCACCTCGGAAGGATGGAAGGCTGAGTCAACCCTGAGCCGGTGAGATTTGAACCGCTGAACTGCTGATCTAGCAGTCAGCCTGCAGTGCTGCATTTAACCACTGCGCCACCTTAGCTCTTAGCTCTCTAGGATCACTTGTAGGCTTCCAATCCCAGAATCCCCCAGCCGGACGTGCCCCGGGGGATTCTGGGAGTGGAAGTCCTCCCATCTTAAAGCATCCGAGGCTGCTCCCAACCAAGGACGGGCCGCGTTTTAATCTGGCCACATCGGGGTGGGGGTGGGGGGTCCCGGGAGGTCCCCTTGGAGGGGCTCTCACGCACAGACTTGGAGAATCCCACACAGGTGACCGCTCGGTCGAAGGGTCCAGGCCCCAGGACGTGGAGGGTGTTGAGGCTCACGGAGTCCCAGATGCGCACTTGGGGCGGCATCACCTGTGGGAGACGGGGGGGGGGAGGGAGGGGGGGCACCTTGAGGCCAAAGGCATTTCCTCCGAGAAGGCAAAGGCGGCTTGTGCATCTCGTTGCCAATGGATGCAGCCTTTGTCCCAGGGGGGGGAAAGAGGGGACGTTCCCATAGAGCCCCACTGACTTTCCACAACAAGCACAGGCCCTGCGGGGCTCCAGGCTCTGCAAACAGCCGGAAGAGGCTGGGGGGGGGGTAGGGGGGGATTGCCGGCCCATGCCCACTTTTAAATGCTCCCATTTGGGGCCCTTCCCACCCAAAGCACCAGCTGGTGCAACTCAGGTGGCAGCCGTTCAGCTCTGAAGGAGGGGGGGGGCAGTTTTCTCCCTCGCTCTCTAGGGACCGCCCCCTCCCCAAGCGTCTCTAGGGCTGAGCCATTTTTTAGGCCGCCTCCCCCACCTTGCCATCCTTTGAGGTCCCGGCCACCTGTCCAGTTGCTACGGTCACCATATCTGGATGCACCGTCAAACTGCGGGAGAGAGCAAAAGGCCCAGGTTACACCCCAAAGGGCAGCCCCTCCCCCAGTTTCCTAGGACAGCGGGGGAGAGGGGGACTGCTCCCATTGCAGAAAAATTGTGCCTCCCCACCTCCTCCACCTTTCCTTAGCCAACCCCCTCTTCCCCAGTTCTGGTGCAGTGCCTGCGTCCTCCCCTAAACTGGCACTGCTTCTCCCCCCTCCCCGCCCCCGTGTGTGTCCCCCTCTCCCCAGCAAATGGGGTGAGGAGGAGGGGCAGGGCAGCCAGGGTCCCCAGGGCCTCTCCTACCACTTGATATCGTCGGTGTGGCCCAGGTAGTGGCGCTGCCGCTGCTCCTCCACATTGTAAAGGACGGCCACGGCGGCCACGAAATAGACGATCTCTCCCGTGGGCAGCAGGAAAAGGTTGGCCCGGCAGTCGCGGCCCCGGTACCCGTATCTGCGGCTGGCGGTCAAGGGGAAGCACCAGGGGACTCTGCCCGGAGGAGCCAGCCTTTGGGGCCCAGCCCCCCTCCGCCCCGGGGGACCCAGCCGTGAGCAGGATACACCCAGTCCAGCTTCAGCTTCTTGTGCGGCAGCTCCAGCTTGGCGTCCAGGCTGTAAGTGGCCACCACCGCATCGGGGACAAACATGGGGATGGGGCGTCCCCGGAGGAACATTTTCACGTAACCATCCTCTGCGGGGCAGAAGGGTGGGGGGCAGGCAAGGCCAGGTAAGACAGCTGCCCCCCCCCCTCGCAAAAGCCAAGCAAACTCCCAGCTCTCAGGATGCCCCCCCCACCTCCCCAAGGGTGGCCTGGAGGGCAAGCAGGTGCCCCGTCCGCACGTTGGGTCCCAAGGGACGCCCTGCACAAGAGGAGGGTCAATGCCGGCTTTAGGGTTGGTCTGCACCCCCCTCTTTGGAAACGGTCTGACCACAGCGACAATGCAGAGATGTCCTCCTCCTGGGGGTTTTCCTCCTCCGGGCGGCCCACTTAAATAAGCCAGAGCCCCCCCCCTCCCCAAATCTATGATGGCCACATCCACTCACCAGCATTGAAGATGGCTTCCTTGGGTTTGCTAGCGGGAGGGAGAGAAAGTTGTTGGGGGAAAATAAGAAAGGGGGGGCCTGGGGGAGGCGAAATAACCCCCACACACCTGATTAGCTGACCCTGGATGACCCTTCAGCCACCCACAAGCCTCCCGCAAAGGGAGACAGACCCCTTCCACTCCCCCCCCCCCAAAGACACACAGATACTCGCCTGAAAGAGGATCGCTTCGGGGTCTTCCTTTCCCCGCCAATCCTTCACTCCCTCCTTCCCGCCCGTCTTAGCCCCAAGTGCTGGACCCCTCCCCATATGAAGGCCTCCCGGCGCCTTCCCTGCGCTGCCCCCAGCGACCCATCCGAAGACCCCGACCCCACGGCAGGGGAAGCCAGCTTGAGTCCGAGGAGGCGTGGTGCGCAGTGGCGACGCTGCCCAAGCACAGCGGGGAGGAAGCTGCTCCGGCCCGTCGGCGGCCGCTGGGGCTGCAACAGGACCCCCCTCCCGCCCCCCCCCCCGGGAAGAGGCCGCTGGGGCAGGAAAAGGAGCAGCGCTTCCCTGCAGCTCCAGCTCGAAGACTTCGGGCTGCCACGGACCGCCGCGAAGGGCCGGGAGAGAAAGGGCGCCCGAGCTCTCGTGGCGGTTCAGAGGCGGCTGAGCGCCCCGATAAAAGCCCGGAAGCATCGCCCAGAACCCCCAAGGAAGAAGCCTCGCAGCCCCCTTCTCCCCCTTCCCGCCCCGCGCTCAGCCAACGAAGATCTCGCAGGCCGAAGCGGTCCGGCCGCCAAGCCCGAAAGTCCCGGGGAGAGTCACCCCCGCCCCCCGCCGCCTTTTGCAGAAAGTGTAGCGGGTCTCTCGCCCCCCCCTCCTAGGCACACGGGGGGCGCCTCTGTTCCTCGGGGGGGGGGCGCCCGGCTCTTGCACCGATCTCCCCGGCTCCGCACCTGCACGGCCGCCCCAAGGACGCCGCGCCCCCCGCCCGGTGGTCCTTTGCAGGGATCCTGCCCGACCTCGGCGGGGGCCAGCTCTCTCTCCCCGCCGGCTCTCCCGGGCCCTCCGGCCGGCAACCCGGAAGGCGAGCGCCCCGCCGCGTCCGGCTCTCCTGGGCCGGGAGGGCAGCGCCGAGCCGGGCTGCGGGGAGGCTCTCGGGCAGCGCGGGGGGAGCGTGGCCGGCGGCTGCCCTCTGCCCTACCTGGGGCTCTCGGTCCGGGCCGCCTTCCGCATGCTGGGCACTCCGCTCTGACTGCGGCGGGCCGGCGGCGCTCCTTCAAGGCCAGGCGCGCGCGGGGCGGCTCCGCCCGGGGGAGGAACACGGGGACTCGCGGAGCGCCGCTTCCGGGAAAGGACGATCCCGACGGGGCCCAGGAGCCGCCCTCCCGGGAGCTCCTCCGCCCGGCAGGCTCGTCGGGGCGCCCGAGCTGCTCAGGCCGCGGCTCCGAGGCCGACGGGGAGCTCCGCGTTGCCCGAAGAGACCCCAGGGAGCCTGGCCGGTGCCGAAGCCAGAGGTCTGCCTCGGGGCTGGACCTGAAGGGCTTTGCCAGACCCGGACGGGCGTTGCGTCCGTTCCGGCCCTAGAAAGAGCCGCCTGTAGGTGCAGGTAGGAGGGCGGGAGGGAGAGGGCGAAGCGAGGGCTGTCTTTGCCTCCAGGAATGGCCGGGGGGCTTCGAAGTCACCCGCAGGATCTCCCCAGGCTGCCCTGCTCCATTCCTGCATGGGTTTCCCTGGAGAAACGGGGGTCCCTAACACAGGCGAGATTCACAGCATGGTGTGTGTGTGTGTGTGTGAATTGAGGTGCTGCTGGAGGGGGGGGGCTGGACAGGAGAGAGGAACCAGCTTCTCTCTTTCTGCTGGTTTAATTTTCTGCATGCTTTCCTGGGCTGCATTGTGGATCCGGGCAGATTAAATGGACCCATAAAAGAGAATATTTCTAATCCAGGTTGAAATGACGGCCCCTGGTTGCCCCCCCTGAGCTCGGTTGTTTTCGTGCAGACGTTTCATGACCCAACTAAATACCCTCATCAGTACTAGAAGGGGGTGGGGTATAATTTAGCCCTGATGATGTTCCCTAGTTGGGTCATGAAACGCCTGCAAGAAAACAGCCGAGCTCAGGGAGCCCCAAGGAGCCCTCAGATCAAAGGGGCCTGGCAGAGTCCAAACAGCTTTGCACACTGGTTCCACCTTGGAGTGGCAGCGGGGAGGGGGCGATGGTGGCGGGCACGCAGTGTGGGTGGTGGGCTTGGCGTGGCCGGTTCAGACATACCCTTCACGTTTCCCGCTGCAGGAGCTGGAGGAGGAAGTGGTGCGGCTCCTCTGGTCCTTGAAACTCTCGCGCTTGAGCGAGGCGGGGCGCTCCGGCGAGGGGCAGCTACTATGCCCGCTGTAGGAGAGAGAGCCTGAGCGAGAGAGCCAGACAAGGCGCGGGCGGGGAGGGCGGCAGCGGGGTGAGGGAGCCAGCTGGGGAACGGGCGATGGAGGAGGAGAAAGCCAGGCGGAAGCAGATGCAGCAGGCCAGATAATAAGGCGGAAGCACCACGCGAGAGAGGAAAACTCCTTCCGAAGAGGGGCCTGAGCCGCAGGAGAAGCCGTGGGGGGGGTCCCAGCAGCAGCTGAAGCAGCCAAAGGCAGAAGCAGCCGGGCGGGAGAGAGGGGTGGGGCCCTTCGCTTGGGGGCCCTCGGAGGGCTGGGAGAGGAAGGCTTCGCAGAGCTAGTTTGGGCTGCAAGGGTTCAAGCCACCGAGGGCCGCCCCCTTTCCTCCCCCAGGCCAGGGGGCCCCTTTGCTCCAAGCCTACTGCAGAAGAGAACTGCAGCCCCCCCCGTTTCTCCTGGGGGGCTGGAAGCAGGGGCAAGGACAATGCTGGGGGGGAGGGCTGATCAGTCTGGTTGACTCAGGCCGGTCAAGCAAAGCTGAAGGCCTCCCTGCCCCCCAACTTAAAGAGCGCCTTCGGGGTTCACCCGCTGCCCTTTGGGGACGCAGCCTCACGTAGGCCCTGGGCGCTAACGGAGACGAGGGGGGGTTCCTCAGCACCCGGGCCCCTCGGTGGCCCCCTGGAGAAGTTAGCATCACAGCAGAAGCAGGTGGGGGGGGCGGCACAGGAAGCGGAGAGCGGCGGCAGGGGGTGAAATGGGGGTCAGGAGCCATGTCACGATCCCACGGGGAGTCAAGAGGCAGCCCCTGAGCCACTGACCACCCTGGAGGGGTGATCTGCTGTTCCCCTCCCACCACCACCACGTGTGCTATGAAGAGGTAAAGGTATGATTTCCTACCTCCCCCTCCCCCCCCAATCATGAAAAAAATGGTTCATCCCAAGATCTAACCAGAGCCACTGGAGATGGCCAATATAAAACGTCATTCTTTAAATCCCTTGCTCTATGGCTTCTCTTGGTGCAGAGTTCCCTTTAAGGCGGGTGGACTTCAACTCCCAGAATTCAAAGCTGGCTGGGGAATTCTGGGAGTTGAAGTCCACCCGTCTTAAAGGGTTGGAAAGTCTGCTTTGTCCTTCCAGGAAGCAGAGCATCTCCCTCTGGGACTCAACAGCCCCCCTTCGTAGCCCCCAGGAGCCATTTCAATGAAGAAAGAGCATTTGAAACAAGGCCCCTTCCAAAGAATTCTCTCTCGGGACAAGACTTTGGGGGCCCTTGGGGAGTGTCTGGCTGAGCCCCCCCTTCCCACCATTAGGACGAAGGGCTCTTTCACTGGCTAAATGCGAGCGGTTTCATTCAGAGGGACCTTGAGAACTAGCAACTTGAGGGTTTCCCCTGCGGTTTCTACGCTTCCCTCAGAGTGAGCCGAAGTGCAGGGCACGGGAGACACACCACTCCCTCCATGGAGTCCCAAGTTTTCAAGCAACGCCTACTTTTTCTCACCCACCGAGGGAGAAAATGCCAGAATTAAGGGATGGCTCCTGAGCAGGAAGGGTTGTTTGTGCTCTGCGCATCCCCAGAGCCAGAGTGGGAGAGCATCAGGCTGTCTCTAAGGTACAGCCAGGTTGGGCGAGGCGCCTGCGTGACTCGTGCAAAAGTTTCTGGCTTTTTCTGACTTCCCGGGGGGCCCGTCCTCCTAGGAGACTCCCCATAAATCTCTTCTAATCTCTTCTAATCTAGCCTTGGCTCACCTGCCTGGCAAACCTAAATAGCAATAGCAATAGCAATAGCAATAGCAATAGCAGTAGACTTATATACCGCTTCATAGGCCTTTCAGGCCTCTCTAAGCGGTTTACAGAGAGTCAGCATATTGCCCCCAACAATCTGGGTCCTCAACGTAACCCTAAACCTAACCCTAACCCCTAACCCTTAACCTAACCCTAACCCTTAACCTAACCCTA